TCTTCATGGTGATTCTGACTTGCATACTGGGAAAAAACCCGTGTTTTTTCTAGATTGAATTCCAATTTATTTTGTTAAATTTTCTTGCTCTCTTCTAGAATCTCTCTAACGTTTTGGTGCTGGTCTGAGCTGTTGCACTCCAAGGCAGACAGAATGTGTCCTTCCAGTTGAAGTCTGAGCTACAGATAACTGCTCTGGCTATGTATTGCTCCGAGTTGTACATCCAGCTAAGAATAGTTTAATTTATTCCCTGTTTATGTGTCACTAGGAGAAACTTAGTTTTCTGAATCCCATTCAGGGTTTCTTCCAGAAAGCTGTTTGATTTTATGCATTTCCTTTCTATTATTTTTTAATTTGTACTCATATGGAGAAATATGACTAATCTATGCAGAACTTATACCTTCCTGTGAAGCAATCAACTCAGAGGAATTAATAATAAATGAGTTTACGATTTCATCCAAGAAGCAGCTTCCCCCTTTCTAAGCCCCTGCAAAGACTCACAAGTTGTTTCCTTACCACAGCAAGAAGAAAAATTTTTGGAATGAAGACTGTTTCCGTGAAAAATTTATGAGGAAAAATAGTATTCCAGTGAAAAGTGTCCGTGATGTAACCATGTTATGAGAATGAAAACACTTTGGGCTCTGTGCATCAGCATAAAATTGGAAGACCAGCAATGTTTTACTTGTGAAGTGCTAAATGGCAGCAGCTGAAAGCAGACCACATGGAGTGTCTCCCTTTTCCCTTTGGCCATCCTGCCTTTTGCACCCTGTCCTGTCCAACTCATTCTCTTCCTTCATTGTTCATTGACAAGCTGTGAAGTCAGTCTCAGTGAGCTCATTTAAGAAGTAAAATAGAAGTTCCCTTTTTGAAATGTCTTTCTGTTTTTACACAAAGACCTCCCTCCTTGTGTCCTTCCTTAACTGTATTTTATGGCAGCTGCCCCCTGTGCTGGATGTACTGCAGACTGCTACGGAAGCTGAAGGACCCCTTTGGTAATCAGATGAGAGTGAGATCTCTTTCCTGTTATGAACTTTTTCCTCTCCTGAAAAAAGGAGCTATTTTCAGATTTGAAAGTGTAGTGAAGGTTCAGGGTATGCAGAGGTCTTTTTTCATTCTGTTGAAAATTATGTATATTGATGTCTTCTAAGTGCCTGTTGGTTATTGTGTGATTGACCAAATAGAGTCATACAAGGACATGAGCTCTGCTGTATTTCATACCACATCTGGAATAGATATTCTTGGGAATCCGTTCATTTAACTGTCAGACTCTGAACAGTGGGAAGAGTTAGGTGTCTCCTTCATTTATGGGATTTCTTCTGTAGGTGGGACACAAGGACTTGCCAGCAGATACTGTCTGCTATCTCCAGTGAATCTTACAGCTTCAGTGAGTGTAGCATCTGCCAAGAATTCAAGTTTGAGTGAACTGGAAAATTTCCGAGGCTAGCATAGCCATTTCAGTCTTGGTTTTATCAAAAGCTGTTTTGTGGATCAAACAAGAGCAGCTGCTGCATTTGCTTTAAAATCTATCTAAAACATTTTCTTCATTTCTGATTGGGGGATTTCTCCATTCAGCTTCAGCTGCTCACTTTACAGAAAATTTGCACAGATTCTGCTAGGTGCTGTCCTACTTATCACATATTAAAAATCAATAGAATGCAATTCCTTTCTCTGTCTGTCCTTGGTACACAGGAATAGCAAATTGTAGCACCGACTACTCTCCTGCATGTGCCAGATGGTGTCTTAGAGAATACACTGTAGAGGCTTCCTACGCACCACCCTGCAGATTAAGAATATAGGGCCAGCTACTCAACTACTGCAAATCAGCAGAGTGCCACTAAACAGACTGTGCAAGCCCAGTTTGCATTAGATGCTGTCTGAGTCATCAGATAATTAATAAAAATTGCTGCAATATACTTGCTGATGCTTTCCTCAGTGAATTTGCCCTGTCTTCTAAATGTCATAGAAAATGATTATATGGTGCTTCTTGTACAGTTGATACACAGTACTTGAACAAAGAGGAATTTTTGCAAGTCAAGTTAGAGAAAACTCAAGGGCCTTGCAATGCAGAGAGCACAGTACAAGTAGTCTAAACATATATGAATAATATACGAGGTACTGTGTGCCTCAGGAGTTGCTTCTGGAAAGCATACTCTGCTTTGGGAACAGTTGATGCAGCATAGGCTGCATGTACAAAGAGAAGGTTATCTTCTGATTTTAGAAAGACGTAACTGGGAAAGCAAAGTAGGCTTAATATCTGGCACATTGTAGAGATATTACATGCTAGAACGGAAGGAACTGATAAGTGGAAGCTTCTGTCATGACAGTTCACCTTAGGGAGTGCTTGCTTTGAGTTGTCAGCATCATTTGTAATAGACTTCCTTGGACTGAGTTTGCAGAAGGTCAGCGTGATACTTTGATTGAAAATGTGTATTATAATTGACCTAGATGTAATCTGTATGTGAGGAGAATGATGTGAATGGTGAAGCAAGGAAACCATTTTCTAAGAAATGTATTGATAAGGTATTGTCTTTCACATCCTTTTCTAAGAAAAAAAAAAAGCTTTGGAAATTCTCAGAGACTTATAAAGGTTGTATTTTTCATATTAGTATTTCAGAGTACATTTGGACTGATAAAACACAATGGTGAGAATATAAGTGCCTTGACATTCCTTAAGATTTTCATGGGGATCCATGATTCCTAAGATTTTTTGAGTGCTCTGCACTCATGTTCTCTTTTCCATGATTGCCTTGCAGATGCTGCTGAACATTCTAAAGTCCTGTTGCTGTAATGGTACTCTTTTTAAGTGTGACCCAAGTTTTTTCTTAAGACCACCCAAAAAATGAGAAAGATAACTATACATATTAATGAGTATTTCACCAGAGGCATTTGTAGTCGTGCTGTGTGAAAGCTGGTTTTGCTGTGCTTCTAATGCATAAATTTTGACATGGGAGAGTTCCAAGCTCTTTTGCCCACTTTAAGTGAAGTACATTTTTTTTTCCCTGAGAACAGCAGCACATTGGGAAGTTCATACAGGTAGAAGTAAAAATGAAAGTGAGATCTGTCTTAAAATTCTAATGGTACCTTTAAGAAAATATTTTTTGTTTCTGTCATGCTTTTCACATTTCCATACCTGTCCAGTAGCAAAGTTTGGGTGGTTCTTCTGGTGTGATGTATTACCCTTTGTTTCCCAAAGAAAATATGTGCTAGGAACTTTGGCAATTTTCTTGAAAATCTTGTAGATAAGACATATTATTCCCTGTGTGGAACTTATTTGCATTTGGCCTGTTATGTGTGGTATGATGGACATTACTTGGAATACATTGGAATACATTGCTGCAGTGAAGAAGATGAAAATACTTTACATTCCTATGATCATACCATACCATATATGAAAGCTAATCCTGGTCATGCTAATGACAGTTGTTTAGAAAACAAAACAAAACAGCTAACCTGAAATGTTTGTTTGCAATTAATCTGATAATCCTAATGCATAGATTTCTCACCTATGTATATACTCTATTCCTGTTCCCATTGGTGGTAAAGATATTGTAGATGTCTCTGGAAGTCGATGATTTCAAATGGGTTTCCTGAGTGCCAGACCAAAGACCAAAATATTAAGTTAAACTTTCCTTAGTCACTTTTATGCTTGAAAAATCTTCCTTGAATCTCATCCAGTCATTTAATGCAGTTTCTATGATCTGACAAAAAAGAGTTTTAGATCTGGTGTGCAAAGATTCGGTGGTTAACTGAACCCCCTCAGAACTGGGTGGCACTATTGCTTGCAGTCCTTAACTCTGCCCTGCACATACTGCTTCCCCTGTCTCAGGCAAGCTGATGTAGCACCAAAGCTAATTTTTTAAAATGTTGACTTCTAATTGCAAATAGTAATTTCAGTGAAAAAAAAAGGTAAATAACCAAGTATTAATTTGAAGATTTCGTTGCCTCTTGCTTCTTTCTTACTGCATTTCCACATCCCAGTCATCACTCTTGAGCCTCCAGCTTCAAACCTCATCACTGGTCTTGTCAGATTGTTCTGAAGCAGCTGTATCCTTACACACATACATAAATCTCCCTCCTGACTTGCTTATGTTCACCTTCTCCTCCTGCACTAGTCCTTTTTGCTTGTGACTTTGCTGGGGAAATGTGAAGGACTGTTCTGGGGACGGAGTGATGTGCAGCAGTGGGAATGGGGCCCCTCCTTCAGCATGCTCTTTCTGCATGATGTTTTCCACTGCTGCCAACATTTGTATACATGTGGTAATTGCTTTGGTATAATTTTAATCAGGTTATTGCTTTTTAAAATAATGAGTATGATATTTCCTAATAGAAATAGATCTGCTTCGAGTTGTTTTTTATTACAATTTTGGAGGCTGTACAGTATCAATGCAGTGATATGGCAAAGTTTACATTTCCTTGATAATTTTGTTCTGTGGTTTATTGTGTCAAAATATAAACAGGAATGCGGTTGTCTTTCTAAAAAGTAGCAAATTAAATATATCCCTGAACATTAATCTTAGTATGGTGCAAGCACAGTATTTTTTGCAAGTTCATGATTCACAGAAATACTGGGATATAGGCTGAATAAATATTTTGCAAATTGTTGATAATTTATTTTTATTATCTTCACCGATGCTGAGAAGTCCACTCAACATTGAGTGAAAAAAAAGAAAAGTCTCTATGTTGGTCAGTTTAATGTGAAATAAGAATCTGCAACTTTTTTTTCTGTTTTATGTTGGTTGGGTTTTTGTGAAGGATGAAGCTGAGCAGAGAAAAAAGCAGTGGGTAAGCTAGGTATATAAACTAAGATAGGTATATAAACTTACATGTAAATTTAGTGATCTAATATAAACTGAGTGTGGAATTCTTTGCTTTTCAGCTATCCAGCTTTAAGGTAGTACATCTTTGTGTCTTTTCTTCTTGGAGATCAGAACAAAAAATGTGTGAATGGCCAGTATACTTTTCTAAATATAGTAATGTGCTCTTATCTTTGTGTTTCAAAGTGACAGAGTCTCTGGCCCAATCCATAGTGCACCATTTAAGATGGATAATGCAGAAAGATCTTCTTGGCCAAGATGTCTTTCTTATTGGGCCTCCTGGGCCACTCCGGCGATCTATTGCCATGCAGTATCTGGTAAGTAAGTTGGTTTAAATTCTTGGAGGCATAGTCATTAATGTCGGTTAGTCATTCGTATACTAGCCAAATGGTAAAAAGTAGTCCTAGAAAATCTTACAACAACCTACTTAGGAGGTAAATAAGTTTTTCCATAAATGTGCTTTCCAGAGTTCAATTTCTGTTATAGACAAATAGAAAGTACAGACAGTTTAATACATGTTTTTCTGCTTGAACTCCAGGGGAAAAAAAAAAGAGTTGGAAAACTGTGTTACCATATGTTATCACAAATGGAGAAACAGTTTGTTCTCAGCATTATGTATGTTGGAAGATTAAGATATCTGCCTACTGCTACAGACAACAAATTGTTTTTGCTTCATTGCATAAAAAAAGAAATGAAGGAAAGGATTTGGGAGAGAAGTGTTCTGAGTAACATTTGGGAACAGTTATTGTGAGTGATTAGAAACAGTAGATGCGTGTATGATCCTCTCTTGGAATGTGGGAAGGACTTGCCTACATCCATCTGCATGAACCATGGCATCACCGTGTGCAAAATTTCAGGTTTAAATCATCAGTGCCTTTGGATGATCAGGAGGAGGGGGTTGTGTGCCCCAAAAAGTGACGTGCGTAAGATTTCGTCTGCCACGAACTCTGTCTGGAATCTGATTGGGCAGAGGGACCACAAGTGGAGGTCTATGAAGAGTTGTCATAAAGATCAGCCATTCCTTTAAAAATTCTAATTCGAAGGCTAGTGCTCGAAGATAAAGCATAGAGGAAAGTCTGAACTTTGTAAAGGAGAGAAAAGGTTTCTTAATTCAGCAAACCAGATGTGCTACTTGATAGCTTGATGCATTCCTTAAAATAAATGAGAGGAGTTTGGTGTAACCTAAAAAAAGAGGGCTTAGAAAACACCTGATATTCAGGCAGGGGACATAGAATGTGTCTTCTTGTTTATGCCACTGTCTTTATGAGACTTGAGATTTATTATAAAGGCTGTAGCTTACTGATTCAATGCCATGCCAAAAAATTACATGAAGACTGGTCTTTCCAGGAGAGCTGACAATGCTCTGCTGCCTTTAGTGAAGCTACATAAGCCTGGAAAACCTTTATCTGCTGTTGCTGAAAGCTACTACTATGTATTTATACAGGGCTGATTGTTAAAGAAAACTCTCCTGTATTTCACTGTCTATTTTTTCCCTTTAATTAAAAGAATAAAAACAATTTTATCTACCTGCAACAGAAAGGAATTGGTGGCTTTGTAACCAATAGGCACTGAAAAAGTGGAAAGGAAATAATTTTCATGGCTTTTATATCTTTGCTTTATTTTTTTCATACAACTCGAGTTAAAAGCTGCCTCTTAAGAGAGTTCTGTTAAATCAATGATACCTTTAATTGAGGGGTAAGGGCTAAGAGCATTTCATCATGAACCTGTTCCCTAAGCAGAATGCATGATAGCCCAGATATGGAAGTAGCTGGAATATCAGGTATAAATACATGGGGGATGTTTTTTGTCCTTTAAGATAGAAAAATATCTCATATTGGATCAAAATAAACAAAATGATAACCCAAAGGTTCTCGTTTTTAAAATAGTCTGTAGCTTTACAGATGCAGATACAGTGCATCTCATGGCAGTCAAAGAAGAAAGGATAATATAGTTCCTAAGTGTGTGGCAGAGCATGTACAGGTAATAATCATAACTGTATCACAGTGTGTTACTGTGAGAGTTGAACATTTTCAAGCTTTTACAGAAAACTTCTGATTTTTATTCATGATTCGCAGATGCAGATTGTTTTTCAGAGTCCAGAACCAGAAGATTAACTTGCAGGATGTTACAGATATCCAATGGAAATAATATATAGCTGGTTATTATGTTTTTAGAACAGATTTGGGGAAAGTAAAAGTTTATTGAGCAGAAATTCAAACCATTTTGTTTGAGGCAGAACACACTGTAAACATTTGAAAAATAAGATATTAGATTTTGTTCAGAGTTATTTGAGATCATTGTGCTGCTGCCTAGAGTTCTTTTGTACAATTACACCAATAAACCTGTTCTTAAAGTTCACTTACTGGGGTTATAGTCTTATTTTTGTAATAACTTCGGACTATTGTCCACAGGAGCTAACGAAGCGGGAGGTTGAATATATCGCCCTGTCGAGGGACACTACAGAAACTGACCTCAAACAGCGACGAGAGATCCGTGATGGTAGTGCTTTTTATCTTGATCAGGCAAGTTGCAGTCACACACCACCGAGTAGTTGTTTACAAGGAGTTTGAAGAAAGTAATGGTTTATATGATGAAGTATTACTATGTGGATTGACATGTTTCTAAAGCAAGTAGAAAGTCTCATAACACTCTTGGTCTCATGATTACTGAAAATGTTATCTTTGCCCAAATCCAAGATTACTCTGTCTCTTCAGAGTACTACAGGGTTGGTTTAGGCAGACTATTTTTGATATGCGTCTGTAATGAGGAGTAAGATCCATTCTGTGCAAGCTGGACAAGCACTTTCCTTAGTACATCTTTTGCCCAACATTTGTAGCACATTAGATGAATCTTCTGATTTAGTTTTATTGCAAAAAAGTCTGGTTCCTGTGTTTCAAAACTGCTCTGTTGTGAAACCCAAGCACAGTAAATGGAGACAATTGGGAGGTTTGATTTGGAAGTTCACTGCTGGTCTGGACTAAAATAATGATTTAAACACTCCTGCCATCAGTATTGCCCTAGCTCAATAGCTGATTTAGTATAGCCATAGAGTGACTTGGATTAGGTAGGATTTCTCTTTGTGAGTTATCAATGGCATGCTATCCTTTTGGTTATGCGGGTAAAATACATCCCTCATGTGAAATGTCTGTTTTCCTAGATACCTAAAATTTTTACAGAAGTTAGGTTTCTAGTTATATAGGGTGTGTTTCTCAGAGTTACACTGATGTAGAGTGAACTTAAATGTGTCATCAAAACCAGTTTTCAGTTGGTGATATTATGGAAGTTAATGATATCACTGTCACACAAGTGTTTTGTGAGAGGAAAGTTTTGTTCTCTGTTTTGAAGAAATATTTTCCTTTTGTTTTCTTATATTCACAGTGTTCTCTTTTTCAACCTCCAAACTTTCAATAAACAGATTTTCTTGAAACCACAGTAAATGACTTTGAGTGATAGAAGATCCTCAGAATGACAAATTAACTACTAATCTAAATATATTTTTTAGTTACTTCTAGGATTTCAAATTATCTCATGCTTATCTGAAAGTGTGAGGATTGCACTATATGAGATAATCTGAAGTACTGTACTGTGGATTAGGGCTATAAATGGCTTCTCATTTACCAGAGGATAAGAGCAATTGTATAAACTGTGTGGGTAACTCAGTGACTTATGTTAGCTCCAGTGCCTGCCTTATGGACAACTTTATCCTCAGACTTGCTATGGGATAGTAAAGGTAATTTACCCATGGTGTTAGAGCATTAGTTAACAAAAATTTGTAACTGTGTCAAGCTAACCAAGATGTGAGATGGTCTGTTAGCCCTGTATTTTTCTGAAGACTTTGGTCCCCATGTCAGGATTAGACAGCTTGCTTCATTTTGTACAAGCTATTTCAAGTGATCTCAATCCAGTAAGAACACTCTAGGAAGATTAGCTTTCTAAGGTAAAGGTCTAAGATTACCATCTTCCTCAATGAGTTAAAAATTTTCAGTTAAAAGATTTTTACCGGAATCTAGCATAGGAGTACTTCAGATGAAGACTCCTTTAACAAGGTAACAAACTACTAAAATCAGCCTGAATCATGATGCCTTTCCTCAGCTCATGTTTTACTCATTATATTTGTAACCAATGTATGTATAAACTCTGGATGGAAAATAAGAAAATAAACACTTGGTATCCAGATAAACACTTTTTAAATATTGGAAGCATGAAAGATGAATCTCATAGATAATGATGTTCCAGCTGGAGATTTCTCACCCTACATTTTAATTGAAGATATATAAAATATGGCATATAGTTATGTTGAAAACCGTCATAGATCTAATTATTCCATTTTGTTATTGAGCTGTAAAGTTTTACATGTTACACTGGTGCCTGAATTTTAATTAGTTCATTTAATGATTTAGAGGTTTACCAATGTCTATACCAGTTCAAAACATTACAGAAGCCAGACACTAGTCTTCTTTAAACCACAGACCATGAACTGTTTGAAGACAGAGAAAGGTATCAGTCTTAACAAAAAACCTAACAAAAGCCTTAACAAAATATTTCCTAAAGTGCTTGGATTTGCCCTATTTGCATAGCTGAGCTAAGGAGAAGGTGAAGGCACATGAGAGACTGAAGATCCTGTACTTCTCAGCTTTATACCGTTTTCTTTCATGTGGAATCTCATACTTGCTCTTCATGACACCCAGAGAAGACAGCAAAGCTTGAAAGTCTGGTTTCCAGAGCATCCTCTGTATGAATTCTCTGGGTTAAATAAAACTTTGCTGTTTAAGATAGATGAGGCTCTTTGTATGCAGGGCATAATTTAGTAATGTAGTTATTTTATACTTTGAATAATAATATATTGTAAGGAAAACTGGCATCTTGAGACCAGAAAGAACTTTAATTTAGTGAATCACCAGGTTTGCAGACCCACAGGGGTTTGCACAGTTGTCTGTGAGTTATTGTTAAGATATTATAGTTGTTTATAGCTCTGCATGTAATAGTGACAGATTAAATGCTGTAAATTGTTATCTCAGAGGTTTCAAAACCTCTGCTATATTTTACCGTGAAGTTAGTGAGTATGGTTGCAGTTACTTATTTAAAACAGATTTGAAAGGCAGTGATTTGGAAGCATTTATTTAAATTCTGTGTTGAAATGTCTATTGAGGAACCAGTGTACCAAATATTCTTGCATATTAACATTCCTTAGTACTAGAGTGAATCAAATGGAAGATTTGGAGTTAGGTAGTTAGAAGAGATATCTGATGAGGGAGGAAAAAAAGGTTTTTTATTTACCTCAGAAATAGAAGGCCATTGAAATAAAGGCAAACATTGAATTACAAAATTCACTCCCATTTAAAATAATTTAAAATAAAGAACTTCTAATGAGGTAATGGTGAATTATTTGTTTCAACTCAGGTACTGACAGCAGGAAATTCTGTTTTCTTGTCTTTATCTTGGGCCATTAATTTTGGCTTTCAGCTGTTAATTCACTGTTAAAAGCCTCAGAAATGTCATTACTGTTACTGAGCTAATTAAGTAACCTCTTGGTTTTATTTTGTAATTTATTACATGGGTTAATTATGTTGTATATCGAGTAATTAGTTAGAATTACTTTATATTGCATAAATATTTAAATGGCACTTTCAAATTTTGCTTTTATTGGTAGAAGAGCTTGTCTTGCAGAGTGGTTTTCTCCTCCTATAATTCTTTGTAGTTGAGCCATCAACCTGATTGATCCAGTATGGAGATTCTAATATCAGCCTATTGTCTTTTCAAAAATTAAGGAATTAGATCTGATCTTTTTTTCCTTGATTTTTCTTATGCAGGTTTGGTTTTTACTGTGCTATAAAAGGTACTTCTCTGGTTTAAACTCTTGTTACTCCTGTATCCTACATTAATAATTGTTGCATCTAAGGAAATCCTACATTATTTTAATGCAGTGAATGCATTTGGGAGAGCAGCTAAACTATTTTGTTAGTGTTTGAGAGGTGTATTGCTCCAGGATTATGCCACAGGCCATGTTGTCATGAATGCCCAGTTTTGTTTACCCTGCAGCTTCCAGATTTTGCATTAGATGAAACAAGCTTCACCAACACAAACCACTTAATCAAGTGTCCAGTCTTTTCTGTTCAAGGCAATCAAATTAACTGAAGTTGGAATAAGGAGAAAGATATTGTATGGGTATGTGCTGAAAAACCACAAATAAAATGTCATGTTTTCAGAGATTAGCTGGCTAAATGTATCCACTGAATGGATGAGTATGTATATCATTGTCATTTCTGTATGTACGGAATTAGACTCTGGTTTAGAGTATTTTTGAACTCTGTGAATGCACTGGTTTTAATAGGATACTTTTACATTGCCTAACTGCATCAGCATCATAAGTTATGCAATGATAAAATGTAAAGTTGATTGTCAGGATACCAGAAAAATAATCTTCTGATGTGGCTTGAAAGACTTGGTGCAGTAAACAACTAAACACCCAGAGTGACAGAAATGACAGCTTAAACCATCCTGTAAAATGAACATGTCATGAAATCCCTGGGAGTAGCACTACACAGACTTGTTTGGTTTCTTTTATTCAAAACCAATTAGAAAGAGAATTATAAAATAAAACATGAGATTAACTGATTGAGATTATAATCATATTTGAGAGTGTGTGTGTTTGTGTGTGTTCATATGTATATATGTTTGTGTATACAGATAAAAATAGAAATCTTTCTATAATCTCAGTAAAGAGATGTGTAAGAGTAATTCCGTTTTTAAAAAAAATTACCCAGTGAGTGAAAATTGCATGATTCTGATTTATGAATTTACTGCCTCGGAGGTGGCAGTGGGTTTTTGGTGAGCTGGTAAGTTAGCCACAGCAAAGGCATTGTCAGAAAGTATAACTTCAACGGTTGACTGTTACTGCAGTATCTGTCTGTGTAGAACAGGGAAGTAGGTAGCAAAGTCTGCAGAAAGAAGAGACAAGCAATGCACTGCTCCAAAAGTGTGAATGCTACTGTTAATTTTCTCGTTTTGTCCAATATTGCACAGGAGGAGGAAAATACTGGGTAGAAATCAACAGTATTTGGATGAAGTTAATCTTTATTAATGTTGGCATAGTATATCTAGTATCTAAAATGAAAATGCATGAGCGGAGCCCTATATAGTAGCCTCTTAACCTATAGAAGTGATTTTATCATTTGCAATACTTCTTTCCTGTTTCTAAAAGTGTCAGCATATAGCTGGATTTGTTAGGTTAGCAGTTCAGGCTCTGGTATCTTGTTTTGATGTGTGGGGCATATAGATTAATGTTTGTGATGTAGTATGAGGAATATTAGGACTGTGTATTTATAATTCCTTATAGATTGAAATCAAGAGTTCTTTTTTCTTATGTTTGTGTCTGTTGCATATATGCCACTTTCTTTTCAGCTAGTATTCCTACAGTGGGGGAAGGAGCAATGCTTTGTAACATGGGGCATTACATTCATAGGCAATATGGACTTGATGGATGGTGCTCTGAGTTAAAGTGATTTATGAGTGAGAACCAAAT